CACAGACCGAGTGCTCTGCCGCTGGTTTAGGCTAGCTGTCTTAGTGGAGTCACCATGGGTGAAGAAATGATTATTGAGTTGCTCTGGTTCAGAAACCCAACCTTATTAGCCCACCCAGAGTTGATGGGTTGTAAGACTCTGACTCCTGAGATTATAGCTCACAAGAGACTGGTGGTTCTTTTGGCTCCTTTTCTGCATTTGCTCCCTGCGTCACTTCTCTAATCCCAAACACTGTTTTTACACACCGGTGACAGTCAAATGTCCAGGGCCCAGTCTGGATCTCAACTAAGCTTCATGGCCGTGAACCTTGACATTTCCCCTGGGAGAGCTCACATGCTTCTCAAACGTCACGTGTTCAAGATGAACTCTTGTCCACTTCATAAAGTCGACATTCCCACCCAGGGCCACATCTAGTCTATGCCTCGTCCCTCCTTGCTCATTGGTGAATGGATGGCACCTCCTCAACCCAACTCATCTTCCCCTACACACAGTCTATCAACAAGGTCTAGTAACCCTATTCCAGGGCATATGGCAACTCTGTCCCCTTCTGCCTACTGCCACCATTCTTGTCCACATCACCATTATCCCTTGACTGGATTATTGCAAAATTCTCCAACCTGGTCTCTCTGTTTCTACTTCAATCCTCCCTCTCACCCATTCTTTCTGTAGCAAATGGAAGGATTTTTAGGAGGACAAACGTCATCATATCTCGTCCTAACTTTATATTTTGTATTCTAAATAATTCCAAATCATCTCTGAGTGGCCTCTGTGGCCCTTTGTGGTCTGGTCTGTCTCCTTCTCCAGGTCATTCCTTGTTTCCTTGTGGTCCTTCTCTCCCCTGACCCCTTCTGATCTGTATTGGCCCTTCCAATCCTCAAACACGACAAACTCTTCGCTGTCTTCTGACAGTTTTCTCTTTCATTCCATCAGCTGGTTGACTCCCGGCTCCACGTAAAGTATCAGAAGAGCCTCTCTTACTCCTCTAGCCTGATACACACTTAGTGCAAGGTGCAGTTGTGGTTTTATTCGTGTGGTTACTTGTTTGCCCCCCTCTCCTCTGGACCGTAACACGAGGGCAGGAGCTACTTACCACTGTATGGTGCCAGCCGGATGGTAGGGGCTCCCTAAGTGTTTGCTGAACGGATACTCACTTGTTCGCTTTATAGGGATTGTTATCCAAGTGGTTCCCTTTCCCAGGGTCTGCAAAGCTGGTCAAAAGAAAAGTACTTGCATGATAAACACGGACAATGTGAACCAAAATATTTGCATGGCGTCAGGAGAAACTTTGGTCCGTGAACTTGACCAGTCTGGTCTCATACGGGCATCCCTCTTGATGAGATTGTGCTGGATAAACATCCTTCTCAGCTCTTCGGCTTCTCTGCCCTACTAATACGTTTTCGTGATCACAAGCAATTGCATTGTTTCAGGCGGTCAGATCACAATACCATTGATTAGGTAATAGAATTACTCTACTACTAATAATAGGAATCACAACCACAAACGTTCATATCATACTTTATGATTTTCTAAGTGCTCTTAATGGGCATTATGTCTTTAATCTTGGAGTCTGGGCCTGGAGACACATCTGCTACCTCGGTTGATTTGGATGGATCCCAAGCTTTGTCTGGAGGAAAGACTACTTCAGCTGAGTGCTGATGTGAGGCTTTTTTTATATTGACTTTGGGTGGTTCCATCTCCAGATGGTGACCTTTTGGTCACCACATCCTCAAATTCTAGAGGCTTTTACTGGATATAGTCCCCACTTTACCAATTATCATTCCTCCTGAGGTTGTTAAGGCAGATAAATGGGGTAATACTAATAATAACAAATACTCGAGTGCTCAGTGTGCAGGGCAGTGTCCTAAGTGCTTTACACACACGCCAGTTCACTCAGTCCTGGTAGCTGCCCCAACTCACAGGACGGCCTTGGCCTCGTCTGCCCACTGGTGCAGGGAGGACTAAGACCCAGGAAGATGAGGTGACTAGTCCCCTCGCCAATAACTGGGGGAGCTGGGACCTGAAGCCAGCAGACGGACTCGGGACTGCATGCTCACGGCAGGTAGATCTGTGAGGGCTTGTTCACTCTTCCCTGACTGAGTTCTCCACGCACCATCATCCAGCCTCAGGAGCGCGAGGCAGGCCTCAAGGCAGCTCAAGGCAGCCGCCTCCCTGGTGGGGAAGGCAGGCTCACACAGGCCTGGCCAGGGTGGGTGGGGGTGGGCCCCGTGGTCCAGGGTCGGCCGGGGTGAGCCACAGTGGGTTGGGGTGGGCCAAGGTGGGCCAGGGTTGGGGGGCAGGGGGGCCGGGTAGGCCCGGTGGGCCGAGGGGCTGCGGTGGGCCGCGGTGGGCCAGGGTGTGCCAGAGTGTGCCATGGTGGGTCGGGGTGGGCGGTGGTGGGCCACGCCGGGGTGGCCCAGGATGGGGGGAGCTGGGGTGGGCCGCGGTGGGGCCGGGGTGGGTCCCAGCAGGCGGCGGTGGGTCGCAGTGGGTGGTGGTGGAGCCGGGGTGGGTCCCGATGGGCCGCGGTGGGTCGGGGTGGGCCCAGATGTGCCAGGGTGTGCTGCGGTGGGCCGCGGTGGGCCGCAGTGAGCCGGGCTGGGCCATGGTGGGTCGGGGTCCCAGTGGGCCACGGTAGGGTAGCTCGGGGTGGGCCGCGGTGGGCTGCGGTGCGTCGGGGTGGGTCCCGGTGGGTGGCGGAAGCTCAGTTTGGGCCGCGGTGGGCCGCGGTGGGCCAGGGTGGGTCCCGGTGGGCCGCGGAAGCTCGGGGTGGGCCGTGGTGGGTCGGGGTGGGCCGCGATGGGCCGCGGTGGGCTGCGGTGGGTCGGGGTGGGTCCTAGTGGGCCTCGGTGTGTCAGGGTGGGCCGCGGTGGGTCGGGGTGGGCCAGGGTGCCCCGTGCTGCGTGAATGAAGGCCCACTGTGCTGGCCGATGCAGAGCAGAGGACCGCGGCTCCTCCTGCGGTGCGGTCAGGGAGGGCTTTCGAGAGGAGGCGACAGGCCGCTGAAGCCTGAGGGGCAGGCCCAGGCGGCCCAGACCCAGGGCAGGAGCGGGGGTGTCCAGCAGGGCAGAACCTGCCGCGACTCCCCACGAGCCCGGGGAAGTCCGTGTGGCGCTCCCGGAGCGGGGAGCGGGCCCCGGGACGCTGGAGAGGCAGGGCCCAGGCCCTCGCAAGGCTCCGGGGCTTCACCCCAAGGGCCTCGGGCCACCTGAGAAGAGGGGGGCACTGCGGAGGGCAGGGAGGGGCAGGCAGAGGTCTTGGGGCTGCAGTGCTGGGGGGCGGGGGAGGGCCGGGCAGGGGGGCAGCGGGGCTGCACCCGGTTCAGGAGGGAAAAGGAGCAGGACCGTGGGCGACGGAATGTGCAGGCCGGGGTGGGGGGTGCGGGGGGGGGGCAGGGGGCCAAGGTCTCCATTTGCGCAAGGTCTTTATCATGGAAACCGGAGTGGAGCACGGAAACAGGAGCAGGTGTGCAGCCCCGGGGGCTCCGCAGAGGAGCGGCTGCCTTGGGCCCAGGCCGTGACCCCGGGTCCCGGGATCAAGTCCCGCATAGGACTCCCCGCAGGTGCTTCTCCCTCGGCCTGGGTCTCGGCCTCTGTCTGGGTCTCTCAGGAATAAATAAATAAAATCTTAAAAAAAGGGGGGGAGGAGAAAAGAAAAGAAAAGAAAAAAAGAAAGGAAAAAAGGAAGAAAAAAGAAGAAAGAAAGAAAGAAAGAGAAAGAAAGAAAGAAAAAAGAAAGAAGAAAGAAAGAAAGAAAGAAAGAAAGAAAGAAAGAAAGAAAGAAAGAAAGAAAGATTTGGGTATGGAAATTGACGGAGTGATGGATCGAATTTCAGGGGTGTTGACACAGAAGGGATGGGGATGTGCTGTCCACAGGCGCCTGGCTTGCACGGCTTGCACGGGTCAGGGAGGAGGAATTGGGCTACAGAGTTTCTCTGACTCTGAGATGGACGTTTTTCATATTTACTACTTCCAAAATTAGAATGTGGCTTAAAAAAAACTGTTTTTTTTTTTTTTTTAGAAATAGTGTTTTAACAGTGAACTATAGTTGATGGTGTCTTAAAATAGACAATAGTCTGTAAAATAAGATTATTTCATAAAAACATAACTAATATGTATTTAATGGCATTTTGAGAAATCAGAGAAGGGAAGCCTTTAAAAACACCCTTTATCTTTAAAAAGAGAGGGAGAGAGATCATCTTTAGTGAAAGTACAATTCAGCAGCAGCACCAAATTTTGACACCACTGCCAAACTGGTAAAGTTCAAGTAATGAGGCTTTAACCACAAGTCTTAGGGGCTTGAGGTGTCTGTTCTAAGTCCACACCATTTCTTGCTCCAGAATTGTGCCTACGTGTTAACTTGATGAGCCACCTGTCTCCACGTTGCAAAGGTAAGCTTGTCAGCCTTCCATAGAACAATGTGCTTTTGAAATTCAGTCCGTCATCCGTTTTCCCTGAGCGTAAAATGCTGAACCTTTTCCTGTAACTATGACAGCAGAGTGTCCCCTACTCACCCCACCTACCACACCCTCAGCCACATAGGTGGGGCAAGAGCTAAAGAAAGCGTAATGTTAGTTTAGGCGAAAAAAAAGACTTAGCAACATCCCTTTCTCAAATCCTACATCATTTAGTCTCTGAATTGTTTTTTGGCCAAAATACTATCTTCCATTGTTAATTTAATATTCATAACTGTGTATAAAGCCTTCCCGATTAGATTTTTGCTTAGCAGGGGAGCAAACAACTATAGCTACTCCCTACAATCCTTGGTTCCAGAATCTTTACCTGCCTTTCTGCTTCGCTTTCACCAGATCATTCTGGAGCCTTCGATTAAGGCCTAGGTCTCACCCAGACCACCACTTAGTACGGCCAAAGCTCAAGGGAACTTTTCATTGCAGCAAAATATACATAGCATAAAATTTACCATCTTAAGCATTTTAAGTATGCAATTCAGTGGTTTTAAATAGATTCCTCACAGTACGCAACTATCACCCCAACCCATCTCTCAAGGAGAATTTTACAAATTTTGCAAGCCATCCTTGTGCAGAGGCCATGCTAATCTTCTCTGTTTTGTTCCAATCTTAGCACGTGTGCTGCTGAAGCAAGCACTCGCCAGAAAACTTTTAAAAACAAAACTTTACTTCCAACTTGTCTATGAGGCCGGCATTACCCTAATACCAAAACCAGATAAAAATACTGCAAGAAGAAAATTACAGATCAATAGCTCTCATGAACATAGGTGCAGAAATCATCAACACAATATTTAGCAAATTGAATCCAACAGTGTCTAAAAGAATTATAGACCACGACCATGTTGGATTTATTCCAGAAGTTCAAGGCTGGTTCTACATTTGAAAATCAACCAATGTAATCCACTACATCACTAAAGAAAAATAATCATATGATCATATCGATCTATGCAGAAAAAGCATTCGACAAAAATCTTACATTTATCTATTACAAGAACTCTGCACAAACTAGGAATAGAGAACTTTTGCAACATGATAAAAAAAAAGAAATCATCTATAAAATCCCACATCAAACATCCTATTTTATTGTGAGAAACTGTATGCTTTTTTTTTTTAAGGTCAGGAAAAAGTCGAGATGTCCTCTCTCACCGCTCCTAATTAACAACATACTAAAACCCCTAGGTCGTGCAGCAGGACAATAGAAGGAAACAAAATGTAAACAGACCAAGAAAAAGAACCAAAACAGATCTTTACTCAGAAACAAAGGTCGGCACCTCAAGTCCCTTTTAGAATTTGTAGACTTTCTTTATTGCATATTTGTCTTCTGTTTCGAAGATTTCTACACTTATTTGTATTATTGCCTTCCTTCTATTTTCTTGAGTTTCAGTTGCTGTTCTTTTTCTAGCTTCATAAGATGGAAGCTAAACTCGTGGACTTTCAATTTTTGTTCTTCTCAAATATGTACACGTAAAGCTATGAATTTCCCTTTCAGCCCTGCTTTATCTATATCCCAAATGTTTTGGTATGTCACATTTTCATTATTATTCAGTTTAAATTAATTGATTAATTTATTTATTTAAAAGATTTCCCCATTTATTCATGAGAGACCCAGAGAGAGAGGCAGAGACACAGGCCAAGGGAGAAGCAGGCTCCCTGCGGGGGAGCCCGATGTGGGACTCATCCAGGACCCCAGGATCATGCCCTGAGCCAAAGGCAGGTGCTCAACTGCTGAGCCACTCAGGGCCCTTAAAATAGTTTATAATTTCACTGCAATTTTTTTTTCTTAGACCTACAAGCTATTTAGAAATGTGCTGCTTAATTTTCAAACACATGGGGGGTGTCTAGTTATCTTCCTGTTACTGATTTCTAGTTTGATTCTCCTGGGGTCAGAGAACACATTTTTTATGAGTTCACTCTTTAGGAATTGTTTGAGACTTGCTTTATGGCCTAGCAGATGGTCCATGTTGATAAGGGTTCATATGCTCTCACAAACAGCATGTATGTGGCAATTGTTAAGTATAAAGTTCTGTAATATGTCAATTATGTCAATTTGATGATTTGTGTTGCTCAAGTTTTCTATATTTTTGCTGATTCTTTGTCTGTTTCTTTTATCAGCTATTTAAAGAGGTGCTAAAATCTCCTGTAATGATTATTGGTTTATCTATGTCTTCTTTTGGTTCTGTCAACTTTGCTTAATATATATTGAAACTATGCTACATTTTCCACAAATTACTTATAAATTATAAATTATTAGGTGCACACAAATTTGGGGCTGTTTTATCTTATGTAGACTGATGTTTTTATCATTATGAAATTTCCCTTTTTAATCTCTAGAGATAGTTCTTCCCCCAAAGTCTTTGTTGACTGATATTAATATAGCTCTACCAGCTTTCTCTTGGTTAGTGTTTATATGGCATATTATTTTCATTCTTTTTTCTTTAAATCTTTTTATTTTTATATTTAAATTGAGTCTCTAGTAAATAGCACATGGATTTTGCTTTTTTTTTTTTGAATTTGCTTTTTTATCCAAAGGCAATTTTGGTCTTTTAATTGGAGTAATGATCTATTAAGATTTAATGTAATTCTTGAAATGTTTATATTTACTATCTTGTTATATGTTTCTATTTCTGTTCTTTACTGCTTTATTTCTCCTTTTTTGGTAGAAGAATCAAGGTTTTTTTTAATTTTATTTTTTCCTCCTATTTTAGCTTACTGGTTATTAGCTTTTAGAGGTTCTGGGTTATTTCATCTTTTTTCTAAAAGTTAGAGGGCAGATGGGACAGGCCAATCACCTTAATCCTGTCAAGGGTTGTTCTAGGCTTTCTTAGGGTTGGTCCTTTTGGGTTTACCTTCATTACCAAGCTATGGTCTTCCTGGAGTCTCAGTCAGAGATTTGGGTATTGCTATTCCGAGTTGGTGAACCTTGTACTCCACCCTCAATCTGTTCAATTCCATGCTGCTGTAGAATCTTTGTACAAAGCATTCCATTAGCTTTCCTATAGTCACGGCTATGCTGGCTTAGTTTGGGAGTTAGCAAGCACCTCAATAGGAGATTGCTCCTACACTGTCGGTTCACTTGTTGGCAATTCCCCCCTCTGTGAGGTTTTACCACCTAAGTCCCAGCCACTTTGGCAACTTTGAACTCCAATCTGTCTCTGCAGCCCAATCAAAGAATAGAGTAGCTACCACTTACCCTATTCCTTACCCTGTGAATTGGGCTGGGGTGAATACAGAGCTCACCTACTCTTAGGGATTGTCTGCATTGGTTGCTCGTCAGTGCCTTCAAATACTTGTGATATGTATTCCTTTTTTTTTTTTTTTTTTGAAGATTTTCTTTATTTGTCAGAGAGAGAGAGCACAAGTGGGGGGAGCGGGCAGGTAGAGGGAGAAGCAAGCTCCCCGCTGAGTCTGATCCCAGGATCCTGGGATCATGACTTGAACTGAAGGGAGCCACTTAACCGACTGAGCCACCCAGGCATCCCAGCTTGTGCTATATATTCTGTGCAGCTGATAATAGCTGTTTTCAGCAGGGTAGTTGGTTCAGTACAAGCTACTCTATTATGGCTGGAATCAAAAGTGTTCCCCTATTACAATTGGATACACTCTATGTTATAAATAAAAAATCTAAAACAACTCAAGAGTTCTAAGATCTAAAAATCTAAGAGAACTATACGACCATCCTCAAGTATTTCCAACTTGGCATTCTGTTTAGATCCAATGCCCTTCCTTTCTCATCTTCAGCTTGGTTCTTTGGCCAGAGTTTGCATTTGGACTGAGAAAATGAAGGTTTGGTTCCTAGACTTCTATATAACAATTATGTGATCCTGGACAAATCTCTTCTTTTTACCACTTCAGTTTTGTCATTGGTCAAGGAGGATAGCCATTACTGCCTGCCTACCTTAAGTCTTTTCAGGAACAAGCAGGACAAATATTTGCCCTGTCTTCCTGACAGAGATGGTATGAGATCAGCTTAATGTTGAAAGCAAGGTTCACAGGCTGCCATCCCCATACACACGTGGGAGCTTTCACAATTTTCAGCTCGCGGACAATTCCTTCTCGTGCTCTACTTTTCTTTTTTCTCATCTTAATTAGAGCTGTGAATTAGACACAAATGTGATTGCTGTTTCTTCTGCCATCTGGGTCAGACTGTCCTGCCTAACCCCTAGAATAAAAAAGAACGCCGGTGTTTGAGTGGGATGTTGGTTTTGGGAGAGCTGGCTGGCCAGGTGACTCTGACCAGAGACTACTTCCTAGAGACAGGCCGTGGAGGAACCCGAACTATCAGAAGGGTTTTGCTCAGTGTGGAAACAGAACATAAAACGCCATGAAACACTGAATGGCATTAAGCTTGGACAGCCAGATGGGGATGTTGTTAGAAGTGCAATTACCTTTTAGCTGGAATTTTGGGGCCTAATGAGACAAGGCTTCAGTGGCACAGCTCCGTTTTGTCTCTGACTCTGCTTTTTCTAGTTTTTATCCCTGACTAATCCCTTTCTGGTGGGTATAGCCTCTTTTAGGTATTTTACTAAAGTCAGCCTGGTTGGTGTCTTGTTGTCCTTTCAGGGTCACCTCACATCTCTGCTCAGATGCCTTATGTACTCAGTTTACAGGTTGGCTCTTAGAGCGTTGCTGCTTTTTGTTCCAAAATTTGGGGAAAGGACCTTATTATAACCTCTGTGTCTAGACCTATTATAACTCCAATGGACCAGGTTCTTTATATATTTGATCTTTACACCAGTCTGGAAGGTTATCACTTTCCTTTTACAGATTTGGAAACTAAGGATCATAGAAGCTAAGGCATCTGCCCAAGGTCACAAAGTGGAATGTTACACAGAATGTTTAAATTCAGGTCCGACCTCAAATTCAGAGTTCTGCCTTTTGGGGCTGCTGCAGCATAAGTACTATGTGGGTGAATCATTCCAAATTCTCATGTCACCTGTAGAAGAAAAGAGACCTAAAAAAAAAAAAAAAGTGATTGAGTCAAAGAACCCTCTGGTCTAGCATACCTTCATGTCTTTCTACCTTAACCCATGTTTCTCCTTCTAGAATTCTGTTCATATCTACCAAGCACTTACTATGTGCTAAGAACACATAGTAATACAAAGACACAAAGCCTACATTCAAGTAAGAGTTTGAATAGATATAACCTCTAGAAAAGGTAATTTAACAACATTTTTCATCTTTCAAATGTGCAGAACTTCTGACCTACTTTAGGAATTACTCATGTGCACCTAAAGCCTACAGTGTAACTAAGAATAATGACAAACGTATAAATAGATGCAAAATATAGTCTCAAATTGATATAAGTATGTAAAGGGAAAAAAAGGACTGCTATCACTCTGGTTTCTACTAGAACCAGTAGTGTGTGTGTGTGTGTGTGTGTGTGTGTGTGTGCGCGCGCGCGCGCGCATGTGTGTATTTATTATTTATTTATTTATTTATTTATTTATTTATTTATTTATGATTATGAGAGAGATATTTATTACAAGGAGTTGGCGTATGCAGCTGTGGAGCTGGTTAGGCAAGTCTGAAATCTGTAGCGCAGGTCAGCAGGAAGGGAAGGCTGGAAATTTTTGATCAGTGGCTGATGCTGCAATTCCACAGCCCGAGTTTCTTTTCCCTCAGAGAAACTTCGGTTTT